AAAAAATGAAATTAAAAAAAAAAAAAAAACCATTTCAATGGTATTAATTTTGCATTTTTTTTTTATCTCAAACCCGTAAGTTTAAAGTTTTTTTATTTTGTATCTTTTTATACTTTTTATTCAAGAGTATTTTTGGTATTTTTAAAGTTAAAATTGAGAATTGACTCTGGAAATGTATGAATTTGAGTATCAAATCTAACTTGAAGGTAAATATTTGATGAGATAAAAAATTAAATATATAGTTTTTAAATAAGTTCAAAACACACAAGGTATATAAAGGTAAATATCCTGTTTATAATTGATGGTTAGAAGTTGAAATCTTCTTTTAACAAAGGATCACATGCATAAAATCGTGTCTTAATTTTTTTTTATTTTTTTCTCTTTTTCCTTTTGGATGAAAAGCAGATCACATCAATGGGCATATAATAATAGTACTAGTTGAGATTAAACATTTGTGTTAGCATCACTAATCACAAATCACAAATCACAAGGAAAGGAAAATCAACAGATCAGCTGAGCGGCCCCAAGTGAATCAATAACACGTTTGTAGGCGTATTGAATTTGCTTCCCAGAATGGGTGCAGTCATTATGGAAAATGTGAGATGTAAATCATGATTAGCATTTATAAGGGTGGTGTGGGATTTGGGAAGCTGTCCACGTGCCATCACGTGGATCAGTACACCGTGCAAAAGAAGTGATGGCACGAACTTATCCCCACGCATGTCCTTGCTGTAAAATAGAATCAAAAAGTAGCTACGGTACTGGTTCATTTTATCAATTCGCGTTTAGAATTTAAATTTTATTATAATAAATTTTTTTAAAAAATAATTATATTTAATTTTTTTGTTACAATAAAAAATTCTCACATAAAGTTATATTTTAACTCGAATTAACGAATTAAACGGTCCCTACATAACTTATGGTCACGGCCATTGGTTTTCCAACATGTCCTACCTTTGTAGTAGGAAGAAAAAAATTAGAATTTGACGTATTGGTGAACCCTAAGGCCCCCTTGCGCTCGAGGTGAGTATGAACTTGAGGTACGAACAAGTACGGAAGTAAGGACATTTAGAATCGAGATGTTTGTTTCCTATATTCATTTCTGATTCTGAATCATGATTTATGATTTTTTACAGTGTTTTTCTCCCACAAAAAAATACGTAAAATGAGAATTGTTCTAAATCATGGTTCTGAATTCATGAACCAAACGTTAATGTAGGGAAAATTCCGCTCAATGGTAGAGCAAGCAGGACGAGAAACGAAAATAAAATGAAGAATTGACTGTGTCATAATGAGTAAATAAATAAGATTGAGTAGTTATAAACAAACGGATAAGATTAAATAAATGTGACTACTTTAATGAGAATTTATTGGGGTTTTCTTTCAATTCATAAGTCTAATTAAGTAAAGTATTAATTTATTGTTAGTTGTTTGATCATTTTTCAACCCAAACCTTAACATAGTTCTTAAATTATATTGGCCAATTGAAAACTTTCTTGTGTAATTAATGAGACATCAGAGAAGATCTCTCTGTTTTTGGTTAATTTATATCCTCTCCCCTGTGTGCTGCTTGTTACTTTCATTTTTAAATTTTAAATCCCACGCAGTTTGAAATTGAATCCCTAATTAATTATTCAAAATTTTCATATTTGGTCAGGATTGTAAGTTGTAACTAGACAGAACTTAATAATCATGACATGATTAAAATTAATCCAATACATTTTAATTTTAACCCACCAAGAATTAATCTTCTTAAGAGGGAACTGTCCAACACTGTTTGTAGTGCTCCATTTTTTGTGCAACAAAACTCGAGTACAATGACATTACACAATTCTTTGGCGAAATTGGGAAGAAATGACGTTTAGAGACAATTTATATCTAAATCCACTAGTTTGCATATCTGTATGTCGGCCATTTTATTTCATTTTCTATGCAGGTAAAAGTTTGTCCTCCAAGCAACCAAAAAAAAAAAAAAAAAAAAAAGAGTTAGCTTTCAAAATGAATATAAATTACTTTTTCAATAATTAAAAAAAATGATTGGGACGCCGTCAGTACAATTAAATACCACTTAAAAAAAATGAGGCCAGATAATACGAACGTGTAACTTACCTTTTATTAGTGGACAATATTTATTAATTATTGATGCCTCTGCCATTGTTGTTTCAACATGAGTTTTTCCAACCACTAGTATACTCATTTGTTGATCAACTAGTAAAGAAAAGTTGTTCATAAAAAAATGAACTAGTAAAGAAAATTTGGTTCAAAAAAGAAAAAAGGAAAATCAATTTTCTTTGTTTAAAGTGATTAACTTGCATGATGTCATGACACAATATAGTATTATCCTTGAAGCAAGAAGAGGTGAACATAGAAAGAAGAATACAATTAATATATAGATTGTCAATAATATTTTCACAGAAAAATAATCATTGCTTAGGTTTGACAATCGAAGTTTTACCTGAAACAATAATGTCATGCATTTAACTGAAAAGGGCTTGCTTATCTGAAAAAGTTTTGTCCTTGACCTATAAAATTGTGTGTTTACAGCAGCATTTTATAAAAACAGGTTTCTCCTTCTATAATTTGGGAAGATTACGTAATTTACCCTTTATTAGGTTTGGCAATTTCCTCTACATTTTTAGAAACTACACAAATTTAGACTTTTGAATTGTTTCATTGTTTAAGGATTTAATTTATGGCATCACTATGGAAACACTTTCCAGTTAATCTACCTTGCAATTCCAGCATTTACGGTTTTGATGTATATTGTTTTTCTTATATACTCATTATTAATTTTTCTACAACTTTTATAAACTTCACATATTGCATTGTCACTTCTATAGTGATGCTGGGAATTCTTCTCCCAACACGACAGAAGTTCCCTTTGATTATTTTCTTCTAATTCATTGACCACATAAATAATTTGGAGAAATCTCCGTTTAGTATATGAGTCCAAATCATGGTTCAAATCAGTGATTTTGATTATAACTTTTGAAATTCATTATTATATTGTTTAAATCTCTTTATGGACGTTTAAATTCATGAATTCAGAATCATGATTTAAAATTATTTTTATTTTATGTGTGTTTTTTATGAGAACGCTAATGCCAATTGCTCCTAGGCGCGGCGGGAGTAGTTTTACCTCCTTGGCATTAGCAATTAGCATTAGCGTTCTTTTGCAGCGGCCTAGATTAAAATCAAGATAGATGAAAGCTGCTTGGAGTACTTTTCTATAGTTGGGATATCGATTATAGACGATTTTAGTTCCCTGTTGGCTGCTTCTCTCTCATTGCTGGGCAAGTTTTGCCCTCTTGTGACCGAAGCTTTAGTTGTTACGAGAAGGACTTCATTTGGTTGCTAGATGAGGTTTGCTTAACTGCGCCCTCAAGTTGGACACAATTAAGATTCGTTTAGTTTGTTGATTCGAGTTTTTAATTTAAATTGATATGTGACTTTATGTGTGAGTTTTTTATTATAACAAAAAAAGTTAAATGTGACTGTTTTTAAAAATTTTTTATTGTAATAAAATTTAAATTTTAAACTCAAATCGGTGAAATGAACAAAATTTTAGCGTCTATCAGTTGCTTGATTCTAAAGACTCCGGAAGCTTCAGCATTTGATGATGTCGGAGATGCTACTTCTCAAGCTAATCGTGGCACTGTTTGTTACGTTTCCCTTTTAAGGAACTCAGTATCCCACTGCTTAACAAACTTTGCTTGTTTTCATTATATTGAATACTTTATTTGGTTGATTTTTTTTTTTTTTTTTCCATCTTTCATAGGCTCTTTCTATGAAAGTGGATGTTGCTTTGATGTTCAAATGCAAGTCATATTTTCCCAAAAATAAAAATAAAAAACTCATTTTAGATAAGTGAAATATCATTTTAGAAAAGTAAAGAAGCATTATTAGAATTTAGGGGTGAATTACTTTTGGAAAAGCGAAATCTTTAGCACAAAGAAAACAAGAAGAAGAAGAACAATCTTATCTAATTTAAATAAATAAATAAATAAAAACCAAGAACAACAGAGGGCAGTAAAGTGATTAGGACCATCACGGTGGCTCAAATTCTACCCATCAATTATTGACAAATAAAGAAAAGAAAAGAAAAGAAAAGAAAAACCTTTGTTGTTTAATTTCATCTATTGCTGCCTCCTTCTTCTTCTTCTTCTTGTTCTTCTTTTTTTCTAAAACAAATTATTTGGCAAGTGTTTCAATTTTCATCCGGTGCGTCATTGTGTTCGAAGGTGACATAACGCGCTTTGGATTCAGTGGAAAAACACATCTAAATCTAGTAACAAAACGTCACTCAGTTACGGCTATAAAAACGCGTTGTCATCACGAGATCTGATGAGCGCCTGGGGATATTATTCCGGAGTCAGAAAGTTGGGTTGAACTCGGCTAAGATTGTGGGTGGAGCCTTTTAAGCAATGAATCCCGCGTTGGCCGATCAATCATCAATCATATGATTTTATGTTACATGCCTGCCTGCCTCTCTCCGTATCTATATATATAAATATATATATATATATATGTATATGTATTTTTCTCACTTAGTCAATATAATTTTCTCTCTTTCCCATCATAATATGTAGGGAGATTTAAGATTATTGATCACAACTGTAAGATTTAAATTGGGTAGTAAATTACTTACAAGGGTATTCATTTTAAATATCACGTGATTTATGAAGCAGTTATAGCACTATGATTTGGATACCAATGTCCTACACATGTTAATTAAAATATAATGCAACAACAATTAAAAGTTTATATAAATTACAAATATATTAATTAATGTGATAATGATATTATTAGAGCACCCAAAGAAAACAAGTAAAAGGGGACATGTGAAATTCTCATTGAAAATATTGTTATATTGTTGTGATCAATGCTCCCATAAAATACATATAATAAGGCAGCAGAAATTCCCAAAAATTTATTATTTTTATTTTTTCCGAAAATTAAAACCCCATATTAATATTATACAATTCTCAACAAGAAATTAGGTCCTTATTAGATTACCACACGCACTCAATTCGTTGCATACTTGCATCCCATTCTCAGCTTCTCTCTCTCCTCTCTCTCTCTCTCTCTCTAGAACGGCAGAAGAGAGAGAAAAAAACAGAAAGTGAGATTTCAAATTCGAAAAGAGAAAAAATAGTCATAGCCATCGTTATTGGACTCTCTTGAACTCCATTGCAAGTTGTGAGTCTTGTGACCCCCCTTTTCTTTTGTTGTCCCACACTTTTTTTTTTTTTTTTCTGTGTCTTTTGAGTTCCACTTTTCGCTTCTCGAATTCACGGCTTCTTTTAGAATTTCCCAACATCTTTGTACCTACTGATCTCCTTCTCCTCCTCCTTCTTCTTCAGCTTTGTCTTTGTCCTCTTTATTGTTCGTTCTGCAACAAACGCACAATGAAGGCTTTGGATTGGTTTCTGAAAAATCTCGTTTTGAGGCGGCTTTTTGCCTTTCATTAATTGAATAATTGAAGCGAAATCCCAAACTGGGCTTTCGATATTTTCGAGCTTTCTTCTCATTTGCTAAGCAAAATACGTTTACATCCAAAAATCAGACATTTTTCAACTCTGAGATTTTGCGTCCGACAAAAGAAAACACGTTATTCTGGGTCTCACAAAGAAGGTTCGTATACAGTTTCCTCCTTAATCTTCTTTTGATTATTTCTAGGAAAGCGTGTATTGTTCACCAAACTCCTACCCAGAAAAGGTCTCTCTCCAGCCCATCCAAAACTGGGAATGAATGTTTTTCTAATCCCACATTTTTAATATTTTTTAAAACCCGTTTTCCTTAATTTAATCAAATCTTCTTTTGCAGGGCGCGTTTTCCGATGGGTTGCGCAGGCTCAAAGCAAAAGCGGTGCAAGCACTGCCAAGCTCCATATTCTCCGATGATGCCGAGAAGCTACTCAATGCACGTTCACCACCCTCCTCAGAACAAAAACGACACCTACCATTTGGTCGCTCTCACTTCCTCAACTCTCGGCTCTCTCAAGCTTGATTCCGTCCATCAGATCAACGACGCTAATGGGTTTGAAGACGACAAGAAGAAGGAGTTTTCGGTTGGGCTAATTGAGGCCAAGACTTGGTCTAACATGATCAACGACAAAATTCCAAAAGTTGTGCCTAAAACGCCCGTCAGAACGCCACCGGGAGAACCAGAGATGATCAACGCGTGGGAATTAATGGAGGGTCTTGAAGATATAAGCCCTTTTCGGTCTCCGGTTCATGTCAGAAGCTTTTCCTTTGATGTCGTTCGAGATCCGAATCCATTGCCGGTTTCTGATCGCCCGAAATCCAGGTTCCAAGAAAACGACACCAGTGCTAATTCCCCAAAAGCAATGTGGCTTCAAACGGCGGATAGTTCGAATCCTCCGGTCACAGAATTTGATCCGGAAGTCATCTCCTCGTTCAGGAAATCCCTTGAAGAACAAGCGATGGATGCGAAGACCGCGACAAACGACGACGATCTCGTGTTTGCAGATCACAAATGCAAGGAAAAGGAGGAGCTAATTCTGTACTTCACGAGCCTGCGGGGTGTTCGGAAGACATACGAGGATTGCTGCGATGTGAGGGTCATCCTAAAAGGGCTCGGCATAAGGGTCGATGAGCGGGACGTTTCGATGCATTCGGGGTTCAAGGAGGAGCTGAAAGAGCTGTTGAAAGACGGGTTTTATGGCGGCGGATTGCCGAGGGTGTTTGTGGGGAATAACTACATCGGAGGGACCGAGGAGATTCGGAAATTGCACGAGGACGGCCAGCTCGAGAAGATGCTCGAATGTTGCGAAAAGGTCGATGAGGGGGCTTGTGAGGCTTGTGGGGATGTGAGGTTTGTGCCTTGTGAGACATGCTCGGGAAGTTGCAAAATATATTATGATGAAGAAGGAGAAGAAGAAGCTGATGAGGAAGATTATGGATTCCAACGTTGTCCTGATTGTAATGAGAATGGTCTAATTCGATGTCCAATATGTTGCCATTAGATTTTCTTCTCTGGCATTGTTAACAACACAACAAACAAGGTGACATTTCTTCCATTTTTGTGCTTTTTCTCTTTTTCTTTTTCTTTTTTTTTTGGGGGTTTTGGTGAGTTGTTTGTTTTGTACAGTTTTTACTAGAGGGTTTTTTTTTTTTTTTGGAATCTTTGGAAAAGATCAATAAGGGGAAGAAACAAAAGAAAGCTGCAATAGGAAGTGAATAATGTTGTTCCAAAACAGGTTCACTTGACCTCCAAGTGTGTCATAAAGGCTGTATAATTTTCTTTGCAGAAAAAACAGAGAGAACAAAGGCTTGTCATTGTATACTTTTTTTTTTTCCCGGGAAATTTGAGAACGTATATGACATGGACATTAGTAACATTTCTTCTTCCTTTTTAGTTTTCTTTAGTACCATATGTCCATATCCTTCTTTACAAGCTGTACTATATAATATATATCAGGATCAAAAAGTTTGATGCTTTGAGCTAACTTTACACTTAAAACTCAGAGCAAAAAAAACTTTATACAGGCAAAAGGGAATATTTTCTATTACTTGGTACGATAAAAAAAAAAAGAATATTGCACTAGTACTATGTCATATGGAATTATTAAATTTTTATCCAAAATTCGTTAAATTTACTTTAAAAAAAAGGGCATGATTTGATAGAAACGCGCAATACTTACAGTCATACTCAACCATAAAATAGTCGAAATCTCAATTGTTGTGTGACATTTTTTTTGTTTATAAGAAGCTTGTTGTGTGACCTGTATCTATCAACCTCTCCCTTGGAATTTATTGCAAGTAAATTAAGGGCTTGTTCAGTTACCTCTCCCTTGGCATTTATTGCAAGTAAATTAAGAGTTTGTTTAGTTGTATTTTTGAGTTATGGTGATTTAAGTGTAAATTTTGAGTTGAATTTGAGTTATAATTTGAGTTGAAGTTGTAACTTGAGTTTGTGTTTGGTTATGTACATTTGAGTTATGATTTGAGATGATAATCTTTTTGAGTTTGTGTTTGAGTGGATTAAAACTTGAGTTTGTATTTAGATAGTGTTTTAATAAAAAATCAACGATAATGGAAAATTTTAATAGAGTATATATGTGGGGTTTTATTCGTCTCTTCGTTGTGAACGCATAAAAAAAATCATCTCAATTAGAATTAAAACGAAAAAGTTATAACGTTTTTAAGAATAGAAAAAAGACTGTTCATTAACTTGAGTTTGAGTTTATGAACTTGAGTTAAAAGGAAAAATTTTTAAACTCAGATTTTAACCCCAAACTCAAGTTAAAATTCAAGTTAAAACTCAAGTTAAAACTCAAATTTTATAAAAGAACACGAACTTGAATAAAATTATAACTTGAGTTCAATTTTTTTTTTAAATTTAAGTGCAGGCGAACAAGCCCTAAATGTTTGCCTCTCTAACCTATCTTAGCGTATTAGTAATATGGTAAGAGTAAGAACCCTCTAGCTCTATGAGGGATCACTACTTGGATTTCAAACTGTAATTAAGCATGATAAATTATTCTATTGGCTCAAATCATTGGTGGTAATGATGTTTTCTTTGAAATTAATCTTTGTTTCTTCATTGCACATATATCTAGAATTAGTCTATTCTAGACTTTGTAAAAATCTTTGGTATTATTATAAGATTTAAGGACGGCCAATCTGGCAAATGCATAAATGGAAAGTGAAGTAGGTAAAGAATTTTATAGGGAGTCGCCGACCGAGAAGAATGTGACATGGTCAATCTACTTGTTTGGAATCGACCTAGTAAAAACAATGGCTATAAAACATTATGGTAGCATTAGAAAGATATTGAACAACTTATATTTATATATATATATATAAACACATTAAAAAAAATTATAATATTCCTAACCACTCAAAAAGGACGGCAAACCAATTATAATCATTTGCCATTTTTCAATTCCAAGAATTCTAATTCTCCAAATAAAAAAACTCACCACTTAATGTGACGCCATAACGCCGCATTAGAAAATAAAAAATAAAATAAGTTGAAGAAATTAAAAAAGTAAAGCGTAACCGAACAACCTGAAGCATTTTTAAAAACAATATATATATATATATTTATATACTGCGGTAGTGCTGAATTTGACCAATTTATTCACGGGCTTTTCTTTTTGTGGCTCTGAGTTCACAAAAACTTGGGAAGCTATTGCCAAAGACCAATGCAGAAACGGCGCTGTTCAAAGTTGTGTATAATACTTTATAGAACATAATAAAACCATTTTTGGATTGCATAGAATTTATTAATGAACAAAAGTGCCATTAACAAAAATGGTGTACCAGTAAGGCCTCCTTTATTTTATTGTTCTGAGTTTTTAATTTTAAATTTTTATACTTAAAAAGTTTTTAAAAAATATCACATCTAATTTTTTTTCTTATAATTAAAAATTCTCAAATAATGTTATATTTTTAACTCAAATTAAAAATTTAAATCCGTAAAACTAATACAAACGAATGAGTGCCAAAGATTCCTTCACCTGGTTAGAGGATTCAAACTATGTGATTTAAACTAATTTTGATTTACATAAATTTTTTGTGAGAAAAAATACTGTAACAAATCATTAATCATAATTTAAATCAGGGAACGAATCCCTCTACCAAATATCCTCAAAACTTTCCCCATTTCAGATCTTGTTGGGGCACCAGGTCAATTTATATGGGCCTTAAGAAGTTAAGACCCCATAAAATCACAATAGGCTAAATGACACTTTACTATCAAATCAAATCAAATCAAATCTCATCGATTTGTGTATGGGTTGGTTCACAATAAGAGGCCAATAATGACGTTCTCATAAACAAATGAGAAGGTAAAACAAAGGGGTAATGAACAATTGGTTCTTTCTTGTTGTCTAAAAATCGGTACAATTAATGCAGCAGACAATGGTCCTTATTAGTTTGTGGTGGAATTGACATTGTCACTTTTTTTTTTTTTTAATAACATTATCTGTTGCCACATCAAAGTGAAGGTGTTGTGAGACGATAAAAATTGTTGTAAGCTTTAAATCCGGGGAATTAAGATGATCGGCATATTCATATATGACATTTCCAAACATTCATATAATATACAATTTTCATACAATATCACATATTTCTTTTATAAAAGCAATTTTCACTTTTGACAAATATAAAAAGATAATTAGCAAATTGAGTCTAAAACAATGAGTTGGGGTCTCTATTATTTCCATGATTAGGAGGACATAGATTGATTTCAGCATCTAAAGCTACAATGAGTTGGATTCTTTCTTCTGCTACTTTGCATTTAAAATCATTGAATTTGGGAAAACCCAAAAAGGTGAGAGATCTTTAAGAAAGAAACATGAGTAATGCACGGTTCTTGTTATCAGATCTCATAAATGTAAGGCACGGAAACAAATAAAAATAAATAAATAGAGTTACGCGTCATCAGCGCATGGATTAGTGGTTGAATTGTTTTAAGGACCCTCATTAATGGGATTTGCCGGTCGGATTTATTCTTCAAAATATATGTATTTTTCAGTGCATGGATTTTTCTTTGTTCTTTTAAATAGAAATGGAAGAAGTTAATGTTGAAATATTAGTGATTTTGCATGATTTGTATAACGTTCTAGACTTGGATTGTGAAGATAAAGTCAAAACTTCCATGGCCTTGTACTATTTGTCGTATGAGTTCATAACAATTTGACTAATAGAGTCAGCTTGAATGGGTCATTTTGCAGAATGGTCTTAAAATAGGCCTTCAATGCAACAACGGTGACATTAAGGTTGGTTAGAATGTGAACAGATGACAAATATGATTCTACTTGTCAAGCAGTTTTAACATGTACAACAATTGAACAAACCATTTGGATTCTAGAAAGTTGAAACAAAGTCAACATTGACTCAGTAGAAGGAAGGGGTACGTTTTATAGAGTAAAAAAAAAAAAAAAAACCAAAAACAAATGTGTTTTATTATGTATTGACAGAGTCCATCGAAAGAGGCTATAGAAGGGTATGTTCCAAAACCGCAGCAAATTATGTGTTTATAAGAGACTAAGCTTGTCTGTACTGCACAAACAAAAGACGATTTATTTGTACAATTGTGAAAATGGGACAAAAGATTACACAACATGGTTTCATATCGCAACTTATTTACCATCATGACCACCGAGTTCAGACGCAGCCTTGGCTGCGCGATTTAGCATGTCCGAAACCCAAAGTGCTCCCTTGGCAAAGTAGCTGCTGTTGGCCACAGCACTACCAGCTGCCATGGCAGCTCTTCCCGTGACGGATGCTGCTGTCACAGCGGCTGTCCCGGTAACAAAAGCAGCTGACCTGGTGATATCTGAGACATGGAATCTCTCGTCCACAGATTTAACAGTTTCCATGCTTGAATAGATTGTGTCCGTGAGGCCAAGCCTGTCGCTAAGCTCTGTAAACTTGGCTGCTGCGGTGGCTGAAACTCGGTGTGACTCGTCCAAAGCCTTAGCCTTGATTAACGCGTCTTTGCCTAAAACATAACCTTTGGCTAGCATAGTTTTGACTACTGTCACTGCCTCACCAGGGGAAGAGACAAATTGATCTGTATGGTAAACCTGCTAAAAACAGTATACTAGGATTAAGTAGTAAGGCTTTAAATTCAAATCATTAGTAATGCTAATTTTCATATTAGGCAAATGAATATAGCAATATATCAAGACATGCTAAAGTCCAATTTTGAGTTCGTGTTAGTCTAGAAACGGAAAATTTATCCCCTTTTATTTCTCTTTTCTGTGTATAAATACAAACTTCTTGGCCATTCACTGAAACTGATTAGGAATCTATAAGAATTTCAAAATAAGACGAGGAATCTCATGCAAGACGATTGTATCGGTGATGAACTATGAAACAGCTTGACTAATACCAGATTAAGATTCGATGCATACCGTTGAGCTAAAATTGTCATCAGGATTCCAAGAAGAGCTGCTCCAAGGGTCATATTCAGCCATATATGAGCCCCAGGGTGATATGTGGACGTGTTGGTCGACAATTGTAGCTCCCTAAAAAACCCGAAACCAGTGAAGAAAAAGGAAATGAGCTGATACTTCAGAAGTCAATAAACTAGAGTTAATCCATGATCTATAACAGTTACATTTGAGTTCATGTAGGCAGCTTGAGACCAGATGAAATCTCAAGTTATATCAAAGCACATTCTCAAACAAATCCTTGAAATACGCTTACAAAACAAAGGAACCACGTGATAGTTGTAAATGAAATGGAATTCAATCACTTCAAAACCAAATTCGTTAATAAGGAGAGCACAATTCCCTGCCAAGAAACAACTTACGGTGAGCAACACAGCGGTTTCAAAAGCATAAGCATCTCTGAATGTCACATATGCAGTACAGGCATATTCACCAGACCTGTTAAAAGCAAGTATATCAATAATCAGAGATGAAGAAACTCAAGGATGTTAACATTGTAGATTTCGATGATTTGCAGCCATGATGTGACATTTAACAACCGACATGACTGAGTGCAAAATCTCAAACAGAAAATTAAACCAAGAAAAAGTAAAAGAAAAAAATATAATTCAAGGAATATATGCAATTATGCTTGAAGTGTTCCCACCAATTATGGACAATTACATAAGACTCTCTTTAAAGACATTTAATGATGCTTCTTTTGTGTCAAAGGCCATATTAATGATTGCGAAACTTCTCAAAATCTTAGATTTAGAGCTTAGATGACGGTATTTCATCAAAAATCGCATTCCTGTCTTCTCGGTTCAATAACTAACTGACTTTTTACGATTCAAGTACATGAATATAAAACAGTTGTTATTGTCTCAGAGCAAGTTGACAAGGCATTATGTTTTTTTCCCCTTTTAACTTTCTTTTTTATTGGGGAATAGAAACTCATTACCATGATTGAACCTGTCTGGATATGAGTGGGGACATTATGCATACAAAAAGCAGAGTTGTTGAAGGGACAATCCACAGCTAAAACAACCACATATTTTTATTCACATCAAATCAAATACTCCCACTATACAAGAAGCTGTACGGATTGTCTTAAATTCTTTAAAGATACAATCCTAGATTATGAAGGTGTAGAGACTAAGAAAAATAATGCATCGCTCCCTGAAAGTTGCTTTCGAATTCCTAAGTCCAAAAACTGCTTCTGAAAGTGTTTCAATGATCCGTTAGAAGAGGTTCCGATCAAAGCTACAATATTAGAAAATTTAGAAATCATCTTGACTTTTACAAATGTGGTTACAAAGACTTACTGAATTTTCACAATTTTTAATTCTTTTCTTCTACTGACTAAAAGCAAAAGAAAAATTCATGCCAAACGGCCGTACAGGTGCCAAAAGTTCATGCGGATATAGAAATAAGCAAAAAGTCAATAGTGGAGAATCAATGACAAAACTTCAATCATAATGCAGACTCAGATGAGAAGCGTGACAAAAAGTGAAACTATACCTGATGATTTCAACGTTCTCAACAGCACCACAATGAGTGAAAAAATCATAAATATCCTTCTCAGTTGCATTGGGAGATAAGCAAGTGACCTCTGCAGTATAACCACCAGAGTACATTTCTTTCAACTCTCAAAATGCCGTAAAGGAGGGGATTGAAAGAACCTGTGAAAAGCAGAAAATATGATTAAATGTTTCCTTAACATTCCATAGGAAGTAAATGCAGTTTCTTTTTTCTAGAATGAAGAAGATATTGGCCCTTTTTTTTTTCTTTTTTTTTTTTGGGAGAAGAAACAAAAGAGATAAGAGAAATGTCAGAAATAGATAGAAGGCATTATCACATTGGGACAGCTTCCTATATTTTTGTGATCAACCTTATTTCCAATAACCCTTTTGTGGTCCATACATTACTAAACTGCCCAAAATAACATCTAGTGTAACTTTGTATTATATCCTCCAACCACTAGAAAGAATATTCTTGAATTTCTAAAACTCCAATAGATTATGCATAGAAATTCTCTCAGGGATTATAGTACTTTTTTTTTTTTAGTATTTTATAAATGTTTGAACAGAAGAAACAAAAACGTTATACAAATATCATTGCAAATGTTATAAGGAAACGAAACAAGGTTAAAGCTTTGGAAGCATTTAAAAATCTAATGCCTGATCTCAAACGCTAGCTTGCTTAAGAGCCAAGTTTGAGTTGTATCATAATCATAAGCATATTTAAAAAAAGGTTCTTATAAAACTTAAGCATATTATATATGGAGTTCGCGGGAAAGGTTAAAAAAACAAATAAATAAATAAATAAATAAGCTAAAAGAGTTAGGATTGCCATGAATTAAGTCAGGGAAATCAGTAACCAAAAAAAAAAAAAAGAGGAAAAAAAGGCCAAATAAATTCTTGGGTTTGTTCAGTGTTAAAACTTAACAGCCTTTGACTTGGGCAATCCTTTTTCTTTTTACTGTGGGCTCTGCAATGCGAATCTAAAGCTAAAAAGTTGCCCAAAAGGGGGGTCTCTGAAAACAATTTGAACTTGGCAACAATATGCCTATCGATAACCACGGTGTAAAGTGGGGAGGAAAAAAAGGCCAAATAAATTCTTGGGTTTGTTCAGTGTTAAAACTTAACAGCCTTTGACTTGGGCAATCCTTTTTCTTTTTACTGTGGGCTCTGCAATGCGAATCTAAAGCTAAAAAGTTGCCCAAAAGGGGGGTCTCTGAAAACAATTTGAACTTGGCAACAATATGCCTATCGATAACCACGGTGTAAAGTGGGTTAATTTGTCTAGTTTAATTATAACATAATACTGGAATAATTACGCGATCAGATGATAATAAATTAAAAAAGAACATATCAATACAAACAAACCAAAAAAAAAAAAAGAAAAAAAGTAGATAAGCTATAGCCGAATTCAGATGAACAAAGTAGTATTATTAAAGCTTTCTTAATTAAACTAGTATTAATTAAGTCAGAATAACTCATAATCAACACCATCCAAGCTGATTTAGCTTATCTGAGAAAGCCCAATAAGTTTATTCCCCTTAAGCACAGAAATCTACTAATTTAATTTAATTAACTTGCATATATACCTGTTGGCTCTTGATCGTCAAAGCTTGGAGGCTGGAGCGATTGAATTGAAGTTGAAGCACGGAGAGTGAAAGAGAGAGAGAGAGAGAGAGAGAGAGAGAGAGAGAGAGAGAGAGAGAGAGAGTAATGTCGGCAAGGCAACTAAATTTGCACGTGCGGATGTGCGGGGGTTACAAAACGGAGTTAGTTAGGTCTCATTTAGTCCGTAGATCAAAATTTTAATTTGAAATTAGACGTAATTTTATTTAAAGAGACGTATAATAAAGAGATTTATATTATAATTTAAATTATAATATTGTTTTTATAAAAATATACTTAAATTAAAAATAATTCTAATATCATAATTTTAATTTATGAACTAAACATTTATTTAAATTTTTTATTATAATAAAAAAATAAAATTAATTAACCTCGGTCGTTTCGCTGATTCGAGTTTAGAATTCGAGTTTTGTTACAGTAAAAAATTCTCACAAATAATCACATCTAATTTTTTTACTACAGTAAAAAGTTCTCACATATAATCACATCTTAACTTGAATTCTAAACTCGAATCAGCGAACAAAGTTAAAATAAACGAAATTTTGTTAACCAACTCTCGAATTATCGTCAAACAAACATTAGTGGATTAGTTCAATTGTATCATTGAAAAGCATTACAGTCAAGTCTGGTTACAGTTCAATTGTAACAAACATTACAGTCATTCTGAGTAGCGCGTTAAATACAGACACCTATGTGGCGACGTGGCGTTATCCTGCTGACGCCACGATGATTTCGAGGAATCTGATTGGCCGAGAATCAATTGTGGGATTTAAATCATTGAAAAGCGAACGAACGAAGATCAAAATGGTCGGCAAGATGGTGGCGTTTTCTTCAAGTCTGGTTAAACCCAAATGTAAGATCCACGACACATTCACGTGTCAAAAAAAAGTACTAAAGCTCTTTTAATTTATTAATTTAAATTTTTAATTTAAATTGAGATATAATTTTATATGAGAGTTTTTTATTATAATAAAAAAATTAAATGTGACTGTGTTTGAGAGTTTTTTATTGTAATAAAATTTAAATTCTAAACTCGAATCGGTGAAATGAACGAGACCTAATATTCCTTAAAAATACTAAAATCTCGTTTATTTCACCGATTTAAGTTTAGAATTTGAGTTTTACTATAGTAAAAAATTTTCAGAAATAGTGACATTTAATTTTTTTACTACAGTAAAAAACTCTCACATAAAGTCACATATCAATTTGAATTAAAAATTCAAATCAACAAACTAAACGGACCTTAAAATTCATTTATTTCACTAATTTAAATTTAAAATTCGAGTTTTTTTTTTTAAAAAAAAACAACTAATACAAGAAAACGTCACACCTTTTAGGCAAAGGATAAAAGTGACTGCAAGTATATAGTAGTATAGAGTTATAAATCTCCTACACCGTATAATTCAAGGGAAAAAAAAAACTAAAAGCCAAAACCATAGAAAAATGCTACGAGACTCGATGAAATTGTGTAAAACGACAGGAATATTGATGGTTTGGAATTACGGCAATATGATGATGATGGTAGTGTCTAAAAAAAATAAAGAATAATTGTAATAAAAAAATTAAAATTTCACGTGAGACTCTAAGAAATATAAAATGCTAAACAATACAAATTAATTTATGTAAAAAAATAATATATGTATATGTACATGTATGTGTCTATGTATATGCCCCTTTATCTTACTCCTACTTCTATTAGATACAAATATCTTTCTTTTTATAATATCTTTCTCGTGATTTATTCCTACATATCCTTATTAATTTAAATCTAACTTTACTATTAAAATTTGTTCAGTATGAGACGTACTACTAAGTTTTCTCATGTTTGCAGTTGACACATTATCTACAGTTAACGTCATCTTTTCAACTAAAAGTATATTCATCAAAGTCTCATATAATTTGAGTAGAGATGCTAATAAAATTTTTGCTTATCTTCCTCATCAATTTTAACTCATACACTTAATAATTGAGTTATGCACTTATTAAAATTATTTATATAATCTCTAACATCATTTTCCTCATTCATCTTCTAACTCATACAATTGCTTCTTCATATATAATCTATTTGTTAGAGATTCGACATATAAATTTTTTTTTTAATTTCTTCCATAACTCAAAAAGAGATGTTTCATTCATAACACTATATTTCAATTCAAAGTCAAACTTAAACGTATAAAGCTTACCACTCTCATTTTCAATTCTTCTCAATCTTCATCTTTCATATTTTTTAGCTTTTTTCTTTACAGCGCTTTCATTAATTCCTGCGTACTCTGCCAGATGCTAAAATTACTTTTTCCATTAAACCGCTCAATCTGCTCAAACTTTAATTATCCCAGACACCATCTTGACCCTTTTCTTTTTAACATTCACCACAGCTCTGGTACTGAAAAAAATACACCGCTACACTCATGCAGTAGAAAAATAAACTAAAACAAAAATAAAAGAAAAATAGACAAGACAAAGATTTCTTGGTTCGGAAAATTTTCTTGCGTCCACGTGAGAGTGAGAAAAAATTCACTAGCAGTTTCAAAATCACATTCTCAACAAACTTTCTCAGTTTTTCTTTCTACCCAAAATCCCTTACACCCTTTGTCTATCTCTTTTCTGCACTCTTTTTCTATATTTTTCTCTGAGCATACTATTTAACACACATAAACCATACACAAAATACTTATTTATAGACTCTTAATAAATCATTAAATAACCCTGACTCAAAAAATAAAAAAATGATAACTTACTCAAAAATACAAAATTGTAACTTTTTTAAAACTAATTTGAAGCACTCAGCTAACAGATGCATCGGCAGATTTGTAGTTACATTCATACATTTTTATTTTTGTTTGAATCCTATCAATTGTTTTCTCCTCCGTTTGAAAATGAGTAAACAACATTTCAAAAAAAAAAAAAAAGTGATCAATACTAAAGGGCATGCAAATTGTATTAATTTGTTTATTCAAAAGATTTTTTCTTTTATTTCGCTTATCTTTTTCTTATATGCACAATTAATAATGCTTTGTAGAAATCAGTGAAAATGCTGGCTTAGAGCTAGATAATGGGCTGCGGCGGAGCTGCATGGGGCTGAGTGGGGTTGAAATAATAATAATAATAATAATAATAATAATAATAATAATAGTAATAATATTAATAATATTAATAATAATAATAATAATTTCCTTTTATAAATTTTATGATTTTTCGGTTGTTGCCCACACTCAAATTATCCATAAGCTCCCATTAAACTGTAGTTTTTATCCATCTATATAACCTCATTGGTCATCAAGTGTAGTGCGTTCATAAATATTGCATCAGATTCCTCGAAATTTGTAAATACCAAACTTCATATAATTGTTTTTTTGGCGTAGTTGGATTCTTAATGAAACTTCGTTGATCATAATTTGTCTCTCTCATTCTTTCCGATTTATTTGGCAAATTTTTTTTATAATGATTTTCTGATTGCATCTATTAACTATTTGTACAATTATAGTCTTATAAAATACATATAAATGAAACCAAAAAAAAAAAGTTTTGAGTGGCTATGGGTTTTGTTTTTGTTGGATTTATAATCTATCCCCAATAAATTAAATTTTTCCTTATTATAATTTTGTAGTAAGATTTGTGAATTGTTAAATGACTGTAACTTTGTACGTAATTTGTTTAAATAATTATCAAAAGTTTTCCTTGATTGTAGCAATGTTGAATTATTTCCAAAGAAAATTAGAGGCTGCATTTCTTAGTGAAAAATTAATAAAGCAACATAATCTAAAACAAAAATCAACTGATGCATATCTTCTAATAGATCCTGAGTTAAGGGCTTCATTTTTGGATTAGAAAAAAAA